TCGGCAACCAGTGCGCGTTTATCACCCTGAAAAGGGGCAGCCACTGACAAGCGTCCAGGTTGAGGGAGCTAGGGTTTAGGGTTTTAGGGTTGGGTTTCGAACCGTCAGCATTGCTCTAACGGGTATTTCACAGTCTGCAATTATCATCGATTATCTTCTTCGGACTAGGTGAATGGGGCCCCTCGAATGACGGGTGATTTGAAACCAGTTAATTTCTGTACTGCCAGGGCAATGAACGGTTAGCACTAGTGTTTTCAACCTTTGCTCTGTTGATACAAACTTAGCGGCTGAGTAGGCAGCCTTCTACCTCTTGGGGTTTATGTACAGTAGCCTCACTATATTCACTATATCTTAAAAGGTTAACCCTTTTGGGGCCAGGATACCCGGCCACTAAGCACCCGCTCTGATGGTTGAACTTTTTGGTACATGTACATCATAGGCCCCGTGTGAACACTTTTTTCGTTGGGTCAGCTCCCCTCCTCACGCCACCCTCAGCCTCTTCCGAAAGAATCCAGGTTCATTGGGCACACAGTCGTCCATGGAGCTCCGGCCACGGATGGAGCGGCCTATGCTTTCGACAACTACACGGCGGAGCTTGTCCGTGACTCTGAAGCAAGATCCTAAACTTCTCTTACACAGAGTGGTCGGAATATTTAGAAACAATAGTATCCTCGCAGTCCCTGTGTAATCATCCGATTATCAGGTGCCTCAAGACCCCATTCGGCTTGCCAAGGCCCTGTATTAAGGTAGACCCAGGACGAGGATTGGGCAAAGAGCCCAGGAAAGAAGTAGCTTCTCTGAGGTTTCGGAGGTTGAAATTTTAATGCCTAACCCTTGTGGCTGTTGCTTGTCAATGTCTTTTCGCGTTGGCGCCCTAGAGCTTTAAAATGCTTCAAACAACTCTAAACACCCAGTTCTGAGTGACAAGTGCACGCTGTAGAAGCTGTTGAAGGAACCCTTCTTGCACCCGTAAGGGAGCCCTTTAGAGGAGCCTTTAAGGGAACCCTCGTACTGTAGTACTCCTTACAGGGAACTCTCGAAGGCCCCTTTTGCGTCCCGGGAGCCAGGTGGTTTGGAGGAGTTCGGCAGCGAGTTCCGAGTTGGCCTCTCGGATTTCAGGGGGGGTTAGGCTTTGTTAGGGTTTCGCGGTTTGGGTTTTGGGGTTTTGGGGGTTTAAGATTAAGTTTAAGGGGCATTGGGGTTTCTACAAAAGGGTTGCTATAAGGGGCATTATCAGGCTTCCTTCAGGGCCTTAAGGGGTTGTGCAGGGCTACTATAACGGTTTAGGCCTCTTTGGTTTTGGGCTTTCGTGCTTAGTGCTTCCGGGCCAGGGCTTAAGCGGTTTAAGTTTCAGGTACAAGGTTTCCCCAAACCCTAAACCCTAAACCCGAATCTTAAAGCACAGCTTTGATCCTGAGGACGCGAGCTTCGAAAGCCTGTGGTGAGCCCATTGGGCTGGCTTCTAGGCTCGAAGACTGAGCCCCCCAATGCCCAACCTTTAAGCTTTTTAGGTTCTTATAATTTAGTAGGAGACCACAGTTGCAGACGGTGCCTTTCTTTTGGGAGGGAAATCTTTAAACTTTTTAGATTCTTATACTTTAGTAGTAATCTGAAAGTTTAGCCTTTTATTTCCCTGGCTTCTTGGGGAAGTAAGAAGAAGGCTCACAAGACTGTTGAGGGTTTAGAAGTTTGGGAAAGTATGCTTGGGCTTAGGGGTTTATGTATGTAGGGCTTTAGAAGGGGTTTGGCTAAGTCCCCCAGCCTTCAGGCCCTTGTGATTGCCAGGTCTGCCCTGTTTAGCCGGAGACTTGGGCAAAAGGCATGGTATCTACGGATTTCTGTGAAACCTGGCAGGGTTTAGGGTTAGGGTTTTATTGTTCACCGCTGTAAAGCGCTCGGCTTCAAGCAACCTACATTTCTGCCACCGCAAACAAGGAAGGCACATTGCTTGCTGAGCATCCCTGTATTTTTTATCGGACCCTTTAAACCCTGAGCCGACTTATAGGACCCTCATATAGGAACCTTTGTATCCGGATGTTCAAACCGAAAGATCGCAGAGAACCCGCAAGCCCTCGACAAAGGGTTTAGGAGTTTAGGATTAAAGGTTTAGGGTTTAGGGTTTACGGGGGCGAAGGGTTTAGGGTCTAGGGTTGTTCTGGGATTAGGCTTGCCTCAAAGAAGGCCCGCCAAGTCTGCACTCCTGATTCCACTCGCCCCGGAAATCCTGAACCTGAAAGGCCGAACATGAGATCAGAGTTTAGGGTTAGGGAAACCCTCAACCCTAAACCCTAAACCTGCCAGCCACAGAACCGCCAAGCCGAAAGACTAAACCGAAAAGGGAAGCCAAAACTCATCTCAGGCTTGAGAAAGTGGGATGGACACCGCCCATTTGGTACCACCTGATTTTGTGGTAACAAAAAGGCTTTGGTGCGCGCTGGCTTGGGAAGTCATATTACGGACTAGCTGAGCTCTAAGCCCAGACCGAAACCAAGCAGGGCTGCATTTGTTTGGGGGGTTCTTATATTGAGGATCCATCTCCGTCTGTAGACTTGGAGTCTGGGGTGCGCAGCCCAGGTTTCAGCGGTCAGGGTCCGGCATCCAATGACTATAAATCTTAAACTCCGCAAAGCACCCTAAAACCCTAAGCCCCTTAGACCCCCTTAAGCCCCTAAACCCCCGAAACCCCCTAAATCCTAAAACCTTCTAAACTCCCCTCCACCGTACCTGCGCCCAGAAGCCGACAGGAACTGTGCAGGGCCGCGCTTTGCCGACCACCATCGGCCGCGTCTGACTGCCAGGACTGGCTCAGTGAGAGCATTGGGGGGCTTGAAAGGATTCTTGTTAGGGGTTTGGGGCTTAGGGTTCAGGGTTTGGCGCTTATTATAGTCTTTAAGAATTAGGGTATAGGGTTTAGGATTTAGGCTTTAGGGTTTGGGTTTAGGGCGTTTATATAGGAGGCCGAGAAGTGTTCTAAGGAGTTTATGGTGATAGGGGGTCTTATACTGGGTTTTAAGGAAGTTTTCTCTGGACGCTCTCTGTTTCTAAATTGTTTTTCTGTAAAATCCTTTTCATAGGGGCCTTATACTGGCTTTAAGGATTTTTCTAGGCCCGCCAGTAGTACTCTGGTGTTCTTTTTGTTTCAGTGTCCCCAGTCATTCCTGTTCACACTATTTACAGTGGAAACATGGTGCCAGCATGATGCGGGGCGAAGTCAGGTAGCTTTGGGTTTCGGAAGGAATGCAGGGGTTGGGTTTAGAAGTTCATGGATTGTGGATACTTCGTACAGCCAGAGCGGTATTTTCAGTCCATAGGTGCCCTCTAACCGTGTTCGAAAAAAAAATATATATATATATATATATATATATATATATATTTGGTAGTAGTACTATTGCTACTAATATTGCAACTATTTTTGGAGCTGTTTGTTATCAATAGCATTTTTCTCTATCATTACAGTCTGCCCAAGTCTTGTTTTGCCGCTGTTGGTCTTGGCGACTGCCTTCTCCGGATACTGGAGTGTCATGGCATGAACAAGTGAACAACTTGTTCCCCTAAGGCTCCATGTGCCCATATAGTAGATACTCAGGCCTTAAAGTACCTAATTATATAGGGACCCCTTTAAGGCCTAAGTATCTACTATAAAGGTACATGGAGCCTTTGGGTTCAAGGATGTCGAATGTTTCCGTGCCAGGAGCCGCTTCCCTGCCGCGAGCCGTGCAGCCAAAAGAAGCTGGCACTGCGTGAAAATGGGACCAGAAAAGGCTGTGGCTTCGGGGTGCTTTGAGGTGATGATTACTAGCGGAAGCCCAGAAAATCAGTTACAGGGTCATTCCTCCTTATAATTAGGGTTCGTGATTGTGATTTAATTACTTTAATATCCGCCAAGATCCACTTAGAGTTATTTGAAACGCTTCGCGTCTATCTTACCGGGGTCTAGAGATATATAGGCACTCTATAGAGAACATGAGAGCTGCCTCGTAGCGGAAGCTGGCAGAAAATGAAGGACTGGCTCACCATTCACAGCAACTGTCAGGTTGGACCTTAAACGCTTCATGGGGGTGTTACAAGACTGATTGAGGGGTCCCTATAAGAAGGATGAGACAATTTGGGGCCGACATTCTTCGGAAGCTAGTATCGACGACTATCGGTTGTAGGCTTGGCCAGTGCAAGGTCCTGCTTGGAATTGGCAAGTAGACAACTTATTTAAAGTGTGATAGGCACCAAGGTACACTTCGCCTACGACAACTCAATTTTACACAAATAGATGGGGTTCCGAGTGGTCGCTTCGTAGCTGATGTGACTTTCTACGAAAGCACCCGAGAGCAACCCTTGACGTGGTAGCATGCAAACTAAAAAGCAGCAAGGCAACCAACCCTAGTTTACTAGGCTTGAGACTGACTAACTTGACAAGGGCTTTTCACACTTTAAATAAACCCTAATGTAGAAACCTAAATAATTACCAATATTTCTGTTAGGGTTCCTTCTTATAATAATTATAAAGGAGCCCACAACTCTATTCTAATCATTAAGGCCCCTACACTACACCGTTTACTTGGCCCCCACGGCCTTGGTCTCTTTGCCACCGATGTGCTAGACACCGACCATAGAGGTTCACGTTTGTGTCTGAGAGGTTAGAGCTTGAACCCTGCCGTTTCAGCGTCTCAGGGGCTAGGGTTCAGGGTTTAGGGTGTTGGGTTTAGGGTTTGGGGTTTATGTCGGTTGAATGATAGGGCCGTGGCCGTAGAACAACAAAACAAACTTCATTCCACCACATGCTCCACTTTGCCGTCTACAGTCTACAGTCATGCTGAAGTTGGAAGTTGGCAACAACCATATGCCCTACACCTGAAGTTAGGCCTTTAGGAGGTTAAGGACATTCCTTCGTGCAAGAAGCCTTAAAACTTTAAGCCCAGGCTTAGACTTCTTAGAGTTCAGGGCCTCAGGATTTAGGGTTTAGGGTTCCCCAGCCCTGAAAACGTCCCCCGCACCTTTGTCTTAAGGTCGCACGGAGAGGCGATCGGGGCGGCAAGAAGGGCCAGACGACAGAGAAGGCGCCTCTTCAGGAGTCAAGTGAGTCAAGACTCCGGGTTCTGAGGAGTTCGTGTCTACGGTTTTCGGGTTTAGGGTATGCCTATAGTCTCTGTTGTAGTTCCTTTTGGGGTTTAACCTGTTTGTACTTAGGACCCAAATAAGTATTTACAATGGAGACTATAAGTAGTTCAACCTCCAAGCCTTAACGCGAGACCTTTGACTGAACGGCAAAGCATCTCATGGTCCATTTAAGATCCCACAAGCACAAGGTATAGTGATGGAGATGGAAGCTGTCCTTGAAAGGGAGCGTGCAAAATGCGCGGGGTTTCTGAGGCAGTCCTCCGTGATGGGCTCGATGTTATGAAGGATGCAGCAGACAATGAAGCAGCCAAACCCCAAAGCCCTAAAGCCTAGAGCATTATCGCGGCTAAAGTTAAAGTGAACCTTAAGAACCCAAAACCTACTTTTTTGTAGGGTCCCTATAAATCCCATATTAGGGCTTATAATAAGAGCCTACAAAAAAGTGGGTTTTGGGTTCTTAAGGAACCACACTACCGGGCAGATCTTTGCTGCTGCGCCACTCTGGGCTCTTGGCAGAGTCGTGCTCTGGAACCTAGACCTTCAATGCCAGCAAGTTACCTCATGTTATACATGTAGGGTGTGTGTATCTATATGTATGTATTTATATATGCATATATACATATTATATATAGCATATATACATACACATATATATATATATACATATATATATATATATGTTTTTGGGCAAGCTACATTGAGCCCTAAACCCAAAATCCCAGACCCGACGGAGTCCTAAATCCTTTAAATCCCAAACCCGAAGCAGCTCTGAGACAGTGTCAGATGGTGGCCAAGTGGAACAGCACAAAGTTCGAAGCCCTAAAAGCCCCGAAATCCTGAGAAGCTCACCAGGTTGAGGTAGTGCCCATAAGGTCGACCGAGCCATGCCGCAAAGCTCAGAGACAGTTCTGGGCAAGCGGGATGTTGACCCAGAGGCAAGTGATTCAGAGGTCTCCTTCGGCACTGACGACCCAATTCCGCTTGAATTTCCGGAAGCTTCGGAGGAAGATGAGGAGGACGACCGAGTTGTTGCGCTGATGCAACTGTCCGTTGCTTTCTTTAAACAGATGAAGGCGACGCGGCCAGAAATAGTGCGTGGAGTCCGCGTTTGGAAGCTGTTGCGTTACTTGCCGCCGGCGTGGCTACAAGGCAATCTCAAGGATCTGCACGGATTGAATCAGCAGACAACACATCTGGATCAGTTTTGGTCCCACAGCTGGCACGGGTCGAAGTGGACCAAGTATGCCAACATGCTTTACCTGCATAATTGCATGCCGGCAAGCATTGCAGGAACATGAAGTGCAGGCGTACCCTTTGGCCTCGTCTCAGCAAGATTTCTGGGTGCGCGGCAGGGATGGTGCCTGCTCTTCGGGTTTGGGGCTTTTTGCATAGCCTTGCTACTTTGGCATCCGCGAAAGCTGGTGTTTCTAGACATCGCGTGCATTCACCAAACTGACGAAAAAAAGAAAGGGAGAGGCCATCATATGCATGGGTGCATTTTTGAATCTGTCGACTTCCATGCTGGTTCTGTGGGATCCTACGTGGGTCACACGACTGCGACTTGGATTCACTTCGGTCTTGCTTTGATATAAGGGCCGAAATAGTTACCGATATTGTGTGTGTGGGCTTCTTATTATAACTCTAGTATAATATCCCCGAAACCCTATTCTAATTATTAAGACCCCTACGTTAGCCGTGTTGCGCCAACACAGACACTTTTCGTATACCGGACCATAGAGCCCTCGTAGCCTAACGAAGGGCCTTTCACAACTAGAATAGGGTTTTGGGCTCCTTTATAGTATGTTTCTAATAAGGAACCCGAAGGAATAATATTGGTAACTATTGAGGCTTCTATTCTAAGGTGGTGCATCTTCGAAGTCGCTGCATTTCTACACAGCCGCAGTCCCGGCGGCAAGGCAGACCTACAGATTATTCCTCCCTTGCTAGGGCCAACACTTCTGGGCTGCGAGATGCTGTTATTCGCGCTAAACATGCTATACTTCTACATAGAATCCTCCATGGCTTCTTCAGACGAGGCCATAGTCGCGGGAGAACGGTACATACTGTTGATGGACAAAATCCTGCATGACCTTATATACCTAAACTATGGGATTTATGGTACTATACTATATTTGGGTCATGCAGGATTTTGTCCATCAACAGTATTGCTCGTTGGTCCTCTTGGCCTGCTTTTCAGCTTCGTGACGCACACCTGGCGAGGCTATGCCCGCAGCATTGAGACGCTGCAAGAGCAGCTCCGTGAGTTCAAGGTCGAGCATGCCAGAAGCACTTGCTGCGACCGAGGCCATGAAGACAACTCTGTCATATGCGACCGTGAGATCATTCTTCAGTGCATCGCTTCCTGGTACAACTCGCTGGGCAGCTTTGAGTCGCAAGTGCAAGCTGAAGTCCGGATGGCCGTCATCGATCAGCTAGCATACAAAGTCATCTCTTATCAGCGAGCCTTGCTAGTGTTGACTCCACATGCCTGGCTTCGTCTCGAGGATGTTTCTAGCCATGCAGGAGATGCCATCCGACAGATAGTCGACCTGGCCCAGATGTTCACGTACGTGCTGGCAATCTTCCCGCTGATGCACAAACTGGGCTTCCGTTTGTGCTACCGCTTGCGAGCACGCTGTTGCAAGCTCTATTTGGACTTCTTGCTATCGATGGCCATCGTGATCGGGACCTTCACGCTCTTCGTCGCCTGCTACGCGATCCAGCTCTATGTCTTCCGTCAAAACGAGCAGGGCCTTCTCCTGAGTGTGACCTCAATGCTTGCATGGTGGATGGTGGCGGCCATCCTGTGGCGATGCATTTAAGAAAAAGAGGCCCGAGCCGTAAGCCTTAAAATTTGAACTTGGTTGAAATCTGAAACATCACCTGAGCCCAAACTGACGTGTCGGCCCAAGACCAGCACTTGAATAAAGGCAGAGTCTTTGCAAAGGCCGGCTTTCCGACACTGCCCCCAAACGTAAGCGCGTACAGTCGCTGCTGCCGGCGCTTGCCCTTTGTTTTCTACCTACGGTTGGCCCTGGCCCGGCGGCAGTATAATACATGCAGTATCTCCTTCCTTGTACAGGCTTCATCGTAAGCCGCCGCTAGCCTGATGCACCCTGGCCAAGTCTACGGAGTAGGCTTTGATGCAAGGAGAGCATGCTCAGGAGCTTCTCCAGCAGTACCAGCGTTGAGTCGTTGCGCGCTGGGGAGCGGTTTCAAAGACTATGGCCTATGGGTATTCGGCTCAGTTTGCATGTGTTCAACTATAACCTTAAATTTCAATTTAGCAATCATCCTCAAGGGGTTTTCTGATCATGCCCATGGCAAAATGGCGAGGTTTTCATGTTCAACGGTCGGGCTCCCTTCCTTGGTAGGCCCTTAAAACCCTAAATTCTAGGCCCTACACCCTCTAACCCCTAAAGCCTGAATCCGATGGCCCAGTATCTAAACCCTGGGCCCCCGAAAGGCTAATCTTTAATCCCGAACTCCTAAGGCCTAATCCCTAAGCCCCCTAATAAGCCTCAAATTTCTATACCCGGAAGGACTTTGGCTCTGAGAGCCCGCCCACGCATTTTAGTTCATCCAAGAAGTCCCTGGAGAGTCTTACTCATAGGGTTTGGGGTTTAGGTTTTTGGGTTTAGGATTTTGTTCCTGAGTCCTTAGGGTGTGGGGTTTAGGTTTTTGGTTTTCGGGCGTTTGAGTTTAGGTTTTTGGGTTCGGGGGTTTGCGTTTAGGGTTTCGGGTTTGGGGTGTATTTTTTCGGTGTCGGGTTTAGGGTTTATGTAAACAGACTCTCTGAACCCAGAATATAAATATAGGACTGAAGAAGTATGCGAGTCAGGGATGGTAGATCCCAGGTCCAAAAACCCACACGACGAAGTGCCATGCTGCAGCCCTAAACCCCAAACCCTAAACCCTATAAACCCTAAACCCTAAACCCTTAAACCCTAAACCCACAGCCCCCAAAAAAGGCCATCCCCTGCCTGCTGATGTCAAAGACGCGGCAGAGCAAGTCGGGGGCGGCTCTTGCGGTCACAACCCTAAAGCCCTAGACCCTTATTGACCAGTCTATATACCCCTTTAAAGGAACCCCAAAGCCTAAAACGGTAACAGGGCTTATGCTTGTTGTTTTCTATAAACCTTAAAGCTCACGGACCCAGAGTTTCACAACCCCAAACCCTAAACCCCTAAACCCCCAAACCCCTAAACCCCTAAACCCCTAGACCCCTAAACCCCTAAACCCTACACCGCTAAGTCAAGCCATCTTAAGCCCACATCATTTTCTGATTCCAGGCTCCAGCGGCTACTGTCGAGCTTGAGCAGGCCTTGCGGAGTGCTTGAGCCGGGTTTAGAGGGTAGGGTTTAGGATTTAGGCTTTAGGGTTTAGGGTTTAGGGTTTAGGGTGTAGGATTTAGGGTTTAGGGTTTTTGGTTTTGGGAGGTCAGGTGGCTTTTTGGTTCTGTGTTTCGGGTTTAGCAGGAGGTCCTTGGGGTTTTATCGGGGTTTCTTGGACCTTCGCTCCTGCACGGAGTTGTTGAAGGTGTATAAAGACAAGTCGCGTCTCCCGCAGTCCCTTAAAGGAACCCTACTTATTTCAGGCCCTTATAGATGCCTTGAAAGGATCCTTCTGGATTCCTTTCAAGGATCCTTCTAAAGGAACCCTACTTATTTCAGGCCCTTATAGTTCCCTTTAACGGATCCTTCTAGATCCCTTTAAAGGATCCCTTTAAAGGAACTCTATCAGCTCGAGGTCCTCCAGAAGCGGGCAGACGGCCGGTCGAAGTGGCTCGCCAAGGCCTTGATCCAGGCCGATGTTCCGGGTTCACCGGGTTTCGCAGGGTTGATTGTTTAATATGGGGGCCTTAATACTTAGCTGTGTTATTTTGGGGGGCTCCTTAGTGTTTTTATAGTATAATATATCCCAACACCCTATTAAAATTATTAAGGCCCCTATATTAGAGTGGGCTGAGGGTTCAGAGTTTCGGAGGGTTTAAGGGTCAGGGCCTCAGAGTTGTCAGCTCAAAGTGGCTGGTTTGGTCTGCATGTGCATTGCAGGGATAACACAGAGATTTGAAAGGTTTTCCCATGGATAGTTGTCGTTTGGTGGGTTCTTATCGGTGTAATGCTGTGTTTCGTGGGGTCTTGGCTTTCGATGTTTGAAGGATTTCATGTGATCTCCGTGTAAGATTTATTCGGTGTGGGGTTGTGCATGTGAGTTGAAGGGTGTGCCATGTCCGGGATGCAGGATTCGAGTTTACGTTTCAGGGTTCAGTGGTACTGGTCATCGGGTTTGCAGTGGAGGGTTGAGGTTTGTCAATGATACAAAGGCCTTAGTAATTAGAATAGGGTTTTGGGGGGGTATATTTTATTGGAATTATAATAAGGAAGCCCCAAAACCCTTTTCTAATTGTTAAGGCCCCTCCATTGCTTTCGGATGTCGGGCTATTGAGGTTTCGAGACGTGGACATCTCGCCACGAGATCAAGTCGAAGTCTCAGGGCTCCTGTGTTCGATTCCTAAACCCACAGCACCGTCCGACAATAAACGCTCTAGATCTGGCAGCGCAGCACCCTAAACAAGCCCCCAGGCACATGAAACCCCAACACCCTTGAAACCGCCAAGGGCTTTAAATCCGATTCAAGCCATCTTGTAAACCTGAATCAAATCACATTGAATCCGATAAGCTGTCAGGCATCCGACGGGCGAATGGATGCGCAGAGCCTCTATAGCGTGGTGGCGCACAATCGCTTCATAGAAGACTTGACGGAGAAGGTTGGGAGTTGTCGGAGAGTTTAAGGGCTTAGTTTAGGTTTTAGGTTTAGGACCTGATATAGTAGGCTTTGCTGAAGCTCTAAACCCTTAACCCGAAACTTACTGCGTAACCCTCAACACCGAAATCCTAAACCCTGAGCATGCGTATAGCATACTGCCGGAGTACTGCAGGATAGTTCAGGCTCTATAACGGCCACCATAAGGATTGAAATAGGAGTGCCATATAAGGTTATGAGTGCTATACAAGTTCCACGACGTTGGGGTTTTGCTCGAGTTTCCAAGGTCGTCGATCTGGTCTTTGGGTCTTAATCACTAGATTCCCCAGATGCACCCTGGTACACTGTTGTCGTCGGGCCTCCAGTTCAAAGGGGGAAGTTCATGAACATGGACACCCTTGTCACTTGCAGGAACCCTCAATCCTTCCAGGAATCCTCTAAATGAAGCACCTACGGACCAAAATCAAAATAAAAGCTGTGTGTGTTTGAGTTTCAATCAACCTGCCAGCCGCACCTGACAAGTGGTTTAGGGCTTAGGGTTTAGGGGTTTGTGGTCTATACGGGTTTAACCCGAAACTACAAACCCTTAGCCGTAGACCGCTCAAACAGATTAGGTTGTCGGCCGGCCTTGCATCTTTGGTCTGCCCTAACAGTCCAGGTGCCTACTTTTTAGGGCCCTAGGGGCTCTAGTACCCTATATAGTAGGTACCTAGGGGGATTAGGGTTGCAACTCAAGGCCGGGGTCTAGGCGTGGATCTTCTACGACAAAGCCGTGGACTAGGGCTTGGGGTTTCAGATCGTGTTTAGGCGCTATTTGGGATTTGGGGATGGGCGCCAAGCAAGCACAGCTACGCTTAGTCTAGTTACTACTCTGGTGCCGCGAAGCCCTAACTACCACAACGGTTGCCTGGTGTGTCCTCTCATCACTTACCGCATTAGTCTTTGTACCTGGTAATCATATGGTCCCCCGAATCCTGCAATGATTGCCGTGTTTAGGGCTTCTAGGGATCCTAGGGAGTTTAAGAACATCTAGACGACCAGAGGTCCCCTGAGGCTAGTTGGGATTCTTAAAAAAAACGGAACCGTTCCAAAAAAGAGACCAAGCAAAAGACTCCGTGATGGAAGGACCCGCCCAAAAGGGACCCAGTTCCAAGAAGGCCCCCCCCTCGAAGTATTCTAGGCGCCAACTCCTAACCCCAGTGGCCTAAACGCGAAACCGTAGGGCCCAAACCCATTACACACCTCTCCAATCCCTAAACCCCAAACCCAAAACTATCGAGTCGTCCAGACCGGCAACAAAATGTACCGGGCCCTGCACGCCAATCTCCATGTCTTCTCGTCGAAGCAGCGGCGGTTCTTGGAGAAGGAATCAGCATGCTGGGCTCATGGCCTGTGGGGCTTTGGGCTTAGCGTTGAGGGGCTTCAAGGCATTGGGATTCGGTTTCGGTTTATAGGGTTTCGGGGTTCGAGTATTGCAGCTGTTTCGGGCTAGAGGTCCTAATTGGCCGTGGTTTGCACGTTCTTTTTTTGCAGCGAAGTGTCGACTGTTGTAAAAAGGCTACCACCACAAGTGCCCAACGAGTGCTACCGCGGGACATACCCGTTCAAAGGTCGCATGTAATTGAACAATTATGAGATACGCCAGAACCTTTTTCGCAACCTCCCAGCCTTCTTTGGAACCATCGCGAGGACTGTGCCCTGGCGAAGCCACTCCGGCATGTCAAGGGTTCAACAACTACCACTGAGCCCTAAACCCGAGACCCGAAAACCCTGATTATGAGGACCCCTTCATATGGCACCCCTAATGTTACCAAGCCCCTGATGGGCTAGATTTGGACATTGGTCTTGTGGCTGTTCGGAGGGTTTTTGGGTAGTTGCGATGCAGTTCTTCAGGGGCCAGGGCGTGAGAGGGCGGTGGTCCCGGTCAACTCACAGCCTTGTGGGCAGGTTTGGGGAAATTTTGTGCTTCTCAGCACTGAGGTTGCATCCCGCCCTGTTTCAAAGTAGTCACTCCTAGTTTTTTGCCGATGTACGCTTCATGCTA